TCCTATATTGACTAGCGAGTCCTGAGTCCCAACACTCAGTAGTCAATACAATTCCCAAGTTATTTGAACCCTACATCAATGGATAATACATACAAATGCAGAATTCATGTCCAGTTGTAGTCACCGAGTTTCGAGTTTTGGCACTCAACACTCAGTGATTTGTTCAATGAGTGATAAATGGACATGTTGCATACATGTTTTTGGGTTTGGGACTTCAGGCTTCAGGTTTTGGCCCTTGGCCCTTGGCACTCGGTACTTGGTGATTTGTGTACCAGGTTTCAAGTTTCAGGTTTTGGCACTTAACACTCAGTGATTTGTGCAATGAGTGAAAAATGGAAATGTTGCATACATGTTTTCGGGTTTCAGGCTTTGGATTTTGGGCTTCAGATATCGGGTGTCGGGCCTCAGCACTTGGTACTTGGTGATTTGTGTACCGGGTCTTGAGTTTCGGGTTTCGGTACTCGACACTTGGTGATTTGTGTAATGAGGGAAATATGGATATGTTGTATACATATTTTTGGGTTTTGGGCTTTGGACATTGGGTTTCAGGCCTCGACACTCGACACTCAGCACTTGGTGATTTGTGTACTGGGTCTCGAGTTTCAGGTTTTGGTACTCAACACTTGGTGATTCGTGTAATGAGAGAAATATGGATATGTTGTATACATATTTTTGGGTTTTGGGCTTCAGGCATTGGGGCTCGGGCCTTGGCACTTGGCACTCAGCACTTGGTGATTTGTATACTGGATTCCCTAATTTCATCTTACACCCACCTGAACAGCATGCCACCATCTTCCACTCCACATTTCATTATAGATCCTGGTTGAATGTGTAGAGTTGGTGAATATAGCTGATGGTTTGTAAACTATATCTCTAGCATGCGCAGAATTACCCAATAATGCCTGGATAGCATCTAAAGGGTTTCTATAGTGCAGCTCATGCTTATGTTGAGGCTTATCATGGAAGGCAAGATGGGTTGACTGCCATTTAGCACAAGCTGGGATACTGTCTACAGTGATCTGATATTGTGATACTGATATAAGCTTGAGCCTGCACATATGTATATGAGACTATATAGACTTGAATAGACTAAAAATGCTCTAGAAAGTGAGATGGAGGATAAATATAGTCACTGTGTCTCTATTCTAGAGAAGTGTTTGCTAAGAAGCATAAAGAAGTTAAGGATTGATGAAGAAGACATTATGATTTATTAATACAATAACCTTCAGCATACCTCCAAGCCAACCATTAATGACATAAAACCTGTGTGAAAAGCCAGGCTTTTTGCATTAGCTTAATTTTTCAATGCTACATGTTCTCTGCTGTCACCTATTCAAATCAATGCTATGCCAGTGGTTGAACCAATGTACTATTCATGACAATTGGGGCCAAATTGGGGCATGGACCTTCCTTTTAGACCTACAATTAATGATACAGTTTTTAATGCAGATCTGACTTGAGGTTTTGAAGGTATTCTTGTATTAGAAGAAAAGAACAATATTTTGGCAGCCTATCATGTATAATTTATGCTGTCTCTATTTACAATGTGACAAGAATTCTGTACTACCTACTACTGTCCAGTCCCCTGCAATTGGCTCTAAAACTTGGTAGTTCACATATTGTAAATAGATAACATGTTAATTTTTGCCAAGAAGATGTGAGGCTGCAGATCTCATAGCTTTTGTAAAATGTATTAGTCACCTCTAGTCAGATACTATAACCTAAGCTCTATTAATATGACTCCACTTTGAATCCACCTAGATGACCTATTCACTGGCCGATCAAGAAATTATTTGAGAATCAAGATCATAGTATCAATTCATAATGGAGTCATACCTTTTGAATCCTAAACCAAAGCAGAAGTTCACACAGGTGAATCAAAACTGGCAGTGATCATTATCATTTTTCTCACTTATTCCCTCAATACCAAACTACTTTCAAAAACTCATGCAGTGTCCTTGAATCAATATGTGTGTCACTATGTTACATAATTGATTCTATGTCAATCAAGGAGGAGTGGAGCCTTACATTACCCTTACTTGGTTCAAATGCTATTAAAGACCCCAATAATGCCCAAAAGATACTAGGCATTCTGAACTCAATGCTCGAGCTACAAGGTTCAAACTAAGATGTGATTCTTTAGTTGATGAAAGTGACCATCTTGCAATGTTTCAGAGCTATCATACAAAATATTAAACAATATATGAAGAAGTGTGAGTACCCTGTCATGATGATAGTAATTATCATCTGTGAAATCAGACCATATGTTTCACTTGGAGTTACATTGTATGTGGAGATGTTGTAAGGCATGCTGAGTTCTGGGAATGCAAGTTTGAGGCTTAGTGATACTGTAGAACAGACGGAAGACGGACAATAATTCGATGCTTTAATATGAAAAGTACATGACTATATATACAAATATGAGTGGCAAGGCAGGGGAGTGGCATCTAAGGGTGGGAAACGTAGTGATAAACAAGGTATATAGACATAAAGGGAAAAGAGTGAAGGTAGAGATAGTGAAATGAAAAGGACAAAGGAAGACAAAAGAAACAAGCGAGAAAGGAGTGCGTACTATGTCACGACAGTTGAGATATTAGTCCTAGCAAGCATCCAGCACCGAAGCTGTAGGCTTCCTTACATCCTCCTCCCCAAACTTGAAACATCAACTGTCCTCGGTTGATCCCCAAACAAGGAACTACTTGTCTCCAGGAAGGGTGTAGATCAGATCTGCGGTGTGAATGAACTGCGTGATCTTGAGACTGGAAGTGGAACATGGGTGGTACGGAATGAGTCTAAATGCTATAAATTTGAGGTCGGACACGGTGCCGTCAATTTCTGCAAGTCGGTAAGAACCTCCTTGGGACCGAGAAACAACGAGCATAGGCCTGAAGTACCGAGGTTTGCATTTGGCATTTGAAGCAGCTTCTATCTTCTTGTTTAGTACTAAGACTAGTGACCTGGGCTTGAAGTTATAGTCCTGTATTGTTCTGCCGTAACGTCAGTTCAAAATCTTTTACTGAAGTGTGGCAGCTGTGTAACAGGCATTCATGGGCAAGGGTCAAGTCTTCTTCACATTTGTCTAACTGTCGTGCGCACAGCACGAGGAGATTGATGGTGGTGATGGTGTGAGAGATGTCAGGGAGCATGAAGGTGGCTTCTGTGATATCGAAAGGCAGCAAGGGTTCTACACCGTGAGTGAGGAAGAAGGGAGTATGACCAGTGCTCTTGCGAGTTGTTACGTGATCAGCCCAGAATATGAATGGTGTGAGTATAGGCCAATGGGTGATATCACTGTCTTAGGCTTTAACGAGGGAGTCTCTGACAGTATGGTGCAAGTGCTCTACAAGTCCATTAGCTTTTGAGTTGTATGCCGAAATTCGAATGTGATTGATGTGATACTTTTTGGAAAGCCAGTCGAGAGCAGCGACAAATGGAGTGCCGTTATCAGTGACAATTTCTTCTAAACCTCCCCATCAGCACAAGATGTCTTCGAAGATGAAGGACCCAATAGTGCGAGCCGTTTTGCGTCATAGCATTCGCCATTCTGGCCAGTTAGAGAGTGAACAGTGTGCTTGAATGATATAAGTGAAGCCGTGTGAAGTTGGCATGAACATGGAGTCAGCAAACACTTTGCGAAAGAGAGGAGCAGGAATAGCAACGAGGGGAGGAATCACAACTTTCTCTATTGAGCGGATCTGGCACTGGTGACATGTCTTGATATACCAGGAGAGGTCTTTATCCAGTGTCAACCACCAGAATCTATCTGCAATAGTGCATCATGTTGGGTAAACTCCCTTGTGTCCGAGATGATCGTGTGATTCACGCAAAATGCGAAGACAGTCTGATCCAAAAAGTACAAGCTGGTGTTGACCTGCTAGATCCTTGCACCACAGTTGTTTCCCACTGAGGAAGAATTGGTTAGCTCGTTTGAGGAGACGGACACGAGACTTCTCTGGAGTGTTGATAGGTAGTGTCAGAGTGTCGAGGTAGTTTTGAATAATTTGAAGTTTCTCATCACGCAATTGAGAGGCATCATCGGAGGGAATGCCAAGATCAGAATTGTGTGATTCTCCTGCAGAATGCAAGACTAGTGCATGGCTCATCTCGCCAAGACATTCACCATCCAATTCCTTTGCGACCCATAACCCACAGCCCAATAGTTCACCAATCCAATCTTCAACATCTTCCAAACTTGCGTCATCTTCTTCTTCATCTTCTGGTGCGTGTCGTCTGCGAGATAGGCCATCAGGTCCTTGATGTTTGGATCCTGGAACGTGCTTGAGAGTAAAGTCGAACATGAGGATGCCAGCAATCCAGCGATTCATGGCAGCATTGGGCTGAATGTCTGGGTTGTTAAGCATACCCTTAATGTACTTAGCATCAACTTCAATAATCAGCTTTTTGACGCCTATGAGCCAAACTTTGGCAGCTTTGAGAGCACGAAACAGGCTGTATAATTCTATCTTCGCCTGGGAGTATCTGGATTTGCGCTCATTCCATGTAATAGATCCAAAGCATGTGGGGCGTCATTTGCCGTCATTGTTGAGTTGAAGCAGAATCCACCCACAAGCAAGGTAGGAAGAGTCAACAGAAAGAATGACAGGGTTGGCTGAACGATAGTCAATAGGGCGGATGGCAGGGGATTGGGTGACTGCAGTTTTGAGAGAATCCATGGTGTTCTGCACTTTGTTGGACCAAAGGAATGGGGTGTTGTTGTGGGTGAGATCAGTGAGAGGTCAGGCGATAGCTGTGTAATCCTTGATCCAGTTGTGTACTGTCCCTGTGGTGCCAAGAAAACCACAGACTTCAGACTTTGAGGCACAGGCTGACCAATGAGTGATTTTGGAAACCTTGGATTCATTGGGAATTCATCCATGGTATGTGCAGCGCTGTCCTACTACTGTGACTTCAGGAACTCAAATGAAAAGCTTACTGGCAGATACAGTGGCCCCAGCGTGTTTAAGGCGGTGAAGTACGTGATTGGTATCCACACAATGCTCCCAAATAAAATGTCGTATGCGTAGGTTGCCAAAAGATAGTTCATAAGTGCCATCCTGTTGTTCATATCTGGTGTGAGGGCTGAGAATGTTGACATCATCTTGGAAGTTAGGGGCTATCTCAATTTCATGTTGCAGTATGAAGGCGACATCATTCTGAAATACAGCCGGTGAATCAGTCCAGCCTTGTGGGAGAACAGTGAGTTGAAAGGTGCCAAGTGGTGTCTGAAAGGTGGTGATGTCTCAGGATTCTTCGGCTAGGGCCCTGTGATCAAACCCGACAAATAAATCCATCATGGTGTACACTGCTTGTCCTGTGGATTGTTCTGCAAAGTGCTCGACATATGGCATAGTGGCTGCGTCCTTTACTGTGACTGAGTTGATTTGTTGCAGGTTGTGGATGATGCACACTGCACCACTCTTCTTCGCAACACAAAACCACCTGGATTGATAAGATGAGTTAGAAGCTTCATAGACGCCTGATGCAATTTTTGACTGAATAAGCTTGATCACTTCTTCCTTAATGCCAGGCAGGATGGGTGGTTGTCTGTGCGCCCATGGCATGTGTTCAATTGTCGGAATGATTACCAGAGGAAAGTAGTCATCGCAAAACCTGCCCTTCTCCAATTCTTCCCAAGCAAGTGCCATTTTGTTATTCATCAGGACGTGAGCCACTAATTTCCTTTCTTCAGGCCAAAGAAAATGATTCGAAAAGACACCCAGGTCGTCCATTCAGTCCTGTGTGAGACGGCTACCTGGTGTGGATTCAGGAGGTATAGGCTGGAGAGCAGGAAGCAAAAGGAGAGGATCTTCTGGGAATCACTGGACAATATGCGTGTGTGAGGGCATGGTAGTTGCTACTAGCTTGACTTTGTTAGCTAATTTTTTGTAGGAAAATATGTGCCTGATCTCATCATAATTGAAACACTTCCTTAGCAAATGTTCTGTGAAGGTTGTAGTGGTGAGAGTGGGATGAAAGGGCTGATGAGCAAGTGCCAAGGATAAGGTTGGAGATAAGGAGGGTGTGTTGACCTGAGAATCGTGCATAATAGCATGAGTTG